ATCTTCGATCTACCACAGGGTCTATCACAGAGAACAGGTGACATGTACAATTTCTGTTTCTCCCATCAGATGCTGAAACTGAGACTGAGGAGGTGTTGATTCCAAAGCATCAATCTAGGAAAATCAGAATTGAATTGTACTCTCAAGAGAATTTCACATAGGTGTTGCCAAGGAATTCAAAATTTCAAAAGCTCCTCTGAAGGAAAAGAGAAGACTAGCAAGGCTGTTGGAATGTTCCAAGCAATAGAAAATGAAGAGAAAGACAAGAAACTTCAAACATAAGGCAGTTAAAGACAGTAAAACATTCACAGAAGTGAGTGATCAAGAATCTGAAAAAGATGGTAGTCAATGCTATGACCCGGCAACACATGACAGAGTTCAGGCTGAAAAGAGACAATATGTATGTACTGAGTGTGGGAAAGCCTTTAGTCAGAGTGCCAACCTTACAGTGCATGAGCGGATCCATACAGGGGAGAAACCCTATAAGTGTAAGGAGTGTGGGAAAGCCTTCAGTCATAGTTCCAACCTTGTGGTTCATCGGAGAATCCACACTGGACTGAAGCCTTATACTTGTAGTGAATGTGGGAAATCTTTCAGTGGTAAGTCACATCTCATTCGGCACCAGGGAATCCACAGTGGGGAAAAGACGTTTGAATGTAAGGAGTGTGGGAAAGCTTTTAGTCGGAGTTCAGGGCTTATTTCACACCACAGAGTTCATACTGGGGAGAAGCCCTACACTTGTATTGAGTGTGGGAAAGCCTTTAGTCGCAGTTCAAACCTTACACAACATCAGAGAATGCACAAAGGAAAAAAAATTTACAAGTGCAAGGAGTGTGGGAAAACTTGTGGTTCTAATACAAAGATTATGGACCATCAGAGAATTCACACGGGGGAGAAACCCTATGAATGTGATGAATGTGGAAAAGCTTTCATCTTAAGGAAGACCCTTAATGAACATCAGAGACTTCATCGAAGAGAGAAGCCTTACAAATGTAATGAGTGTGGGAAAGCATTTACTTCTAATCGAAACCTTATTGATCATCAGAGAGTCCACACTGGAGAGAAACCCTATAAATGTAATGAGTGTGGGAAAACGTTCAGGCAGACTTCTCAAGTTATTCTACATTTGAGAACGCACACTAAAGAGAAGCCCTATAAGTGTAGTGAGTGTGGGAAAGCCTATCGTTACAGCTCACAACTTATTCAACATCAGAGAAAACATAATGAAGAGAAAGAAACCTTGTAAATAACAAACATTGGCAGTAATATAGCTAAATGCTTCTAAAAAACAATTTTTCAGTGTTAATTTTAACTCTATTTCTAAGAATCCATATAGGGAAAATAATAATAGACAAAGGTTTACAAAAGGGATATTCATGCTAGCATCGTACATAAATGTATGAGAGGGAGAGAGACCTCAGTTTTCAATAGGATGGGGTTAAATGAATGCTGCTCTATCTATATGATGGTTCTGCAGCCACTGTAAACATAATAGCCCTAGAATATGTGATGTCATGGCAAATGATTTAGATAAAATAGAAGATAAACCTGTAATCCCAGTGACTCAGGGGCTGAGGCAGGAGGATCACAAGTTTGAGGCCAGCCTTAGCAATGAGGCAAAGCCTAAGCAACTTAAAGGGACTGTCTCAAAATAAATAAAAAGGGCTAAGGATGTTGCTCAGTGGTTAAGCACCTCTAGGTTTAACCTCTAGTAAGAAAAAAAAAGAAAAATTTCAATGAAAAATCAAAAATTTTAAAACCTTAAAGCAAACTAAAATGTTATCTCTATGTGACAGAATTGTAGATTATTTCTATTTTCTTTTGTATACTTTTCTATGCTTTCTAGATTTTCTACAATGAAAATGTTTTACTTTTATATTTAGGGAAAAAAATATAGTATTTTTTAAATATAGTAAGTCCATACTCATTTTCACTCAACTGTTCTGGGATAGACGCATAGTATACAGTCTAAAGTCTCAGAATTACGTCTTAATACTGGCATTTAGCTGTAGTGGAACCATGAGTGAGTCAATTCCTTCTACAGGTGATTTCCTGGTAGTAAAATTATACTTTGTCTTTTGCAGTTTTAAAATAAATTGACTATAGAGTTGTCAACAAAGTGTGTGATCGCTGTTAGGTAAAAAGAACAGGAAAATATTTAGGGCATCTTACTTTCCCTCAGTAGTGGAAGGATCTGCAGATGATGAAGAACTATATAGGCTCCATCTTTCCAATATGTGCTGGGCAACTAGAAAAACATGTTCCTTTATGAAATTGAATCAATCCTAGGCTCAAAAACTATAAAGAGTTCCAGGAATCATTACATAATAAAAGTAGTGAAAGTGCCTTCACATCTTGTATAGAGCTTAGTAGGTGATCTGTGTTTTAATATCAAGTCTGCCAAGTATTCACTTGTCAATTTTAGACAAGTCAATTTAAACGCTCAGACTTTTCTGTAAAAAGGGAATAATTCTCTGCCTCACAGGATTGCTGTGAAGATTAAATAAAATTGTGCATATAATGGATGACAAGCCTGATACATGGTAAATAATAATAGCCCAAGAGTAGTGGTATACAAGTATTATAGCAATGTTTTGAAACACTTGACAGAACTTTTGCCAAAGGTAACAGTATGTTTTCAGGTAATGAACAGAATACCAAGTGTAAAAACTTAAGAAGAAGTCTAGTAGTAAGTAGTTCTGAGTTTGGTTTGGCAACTCAACAAACTTTCTATTTAACAGCATGATTTTTAGCCATATTGGCTCATTTTTCATAATCTTGGTTGCTGCAAGTTTCTTTTCTTCATACAACTCTTATAAAGCTAGGAATTGGGGAAAGGAGCTGAGGCTTTCCAATCTGGTTTCTTTCTTTTATCATTGAGAAAAATCTTCCTCAGAAGCAGGGAGGGAAGAATGCTGAGTAGTCACCAGGATCTGAATACAAAAGATCACTTTCTTGGCCCAGAAATGTTAGGAACATAGTCCCTTGAAACCCTTACTGTCAGCTCTTGTCTTGGAGTTTAACCTGCAGCTATGACCATTCTTAAACTCCTCTCATAATATCCTCTGAATTCAGGGGCTATTTCTGAGTGTGTTTTCTTCACATTGTTCCAGTGGAACCTGGCTATTCCCTAGGGCAGTGCTTCCTCTGAAGTCCCTCAATTACTAGTTTTTGTCTCCCTCAAGCCGTGTACCTCTCTGTACTGCCATTTCTTTCCTATTCTCTGTCAGAAACCCTGCCCTCTTGAAATGTACATCATGACAGTACTGTGTATTATCCATCCTTGTTTTTATCATCTGCTGGCTTCCTGTGTTGTCACCTTATCTCATGGTTTTAGTTCCCTGAATTTTCCTGAGGCATATGAAGAAGTACTCTTTTTAGCCACTATATCCTGATTATGTAGAACTACTCTCTGTGGAATAAAAATGTGTGCTTTCTTAGATGAGAGGAAGATGTGAAATCTCAATTAATATAACTGCAATTATAGGGAAACACATAAAGAAACCTGCTTAGAAAAATGTTATTTCCCTGGATTTAGAGGTTTCTTTCATAGATGGTGTATACTATACAATTTTCGTAGAAAATTGAAACCAAAAACTTGATTTAGTTGAGTAATTGTATTGTATGTAAATTCCAGAAGACTGGATTTTATTGTAGGTCTATAGCTTCAGTGACAGACTTCCTTTTTTAATTTTTCCATCCAGTGTAAATAAAAGGATGCTCATATTATTAAATGGTTTTTAGTTACCAGACTGGTTTTAGTCACTTCTAATATTATTAAACTGGAGTCATAAAATTGTTTTTGCAGGAAATAGTGATAATTCTTCCAATAAACTTCTGCTATTCTTATATTACTGGCCTTTTCTTTTCTACCTTCTTTCAGAGTAGGAAGAAAGCAATTCAATCTGCTTTTCTTCAAGGAGTTGACTTTTTAGAATAAAGTGATTCTGACTTTCTTCTATATGAAGCTTGTTATTTTCATACTCATATAAATCAGAGCTCTATAGCCGTTTGATGGGTAGAGTGGTAAAGGGACAGATAGATGAGGATGGAGGGAACACAAGGCTAAGAGAATAATCCTATAAAATGAGCCCACTGTGCTGATCCCTACACACACACACACACACACACACACACACACACACACACAAACAAACACAAACAAACGTGGGTTTTCCAGCTCTGAAGCCCCCTTTCTCTTCGGAGAAGTCAGTCGCTATCACTTTCTTAAATACAACTTGCTTTCTATGCTTGCCTCAGCATTTCTCAGGTTTTTCATCTTCAACACTGGGGAACAAGGATCCATTCCTGACCCAAGATGGGTATCAGACATTTCTTCACAGGTGTACAAAAAATTAAAGGATAGGAGAGCTGACCATGTAATAGAGCAAAAAGGGCATATTCTTTAAATAGCAAGCAGAATCTACTTTTAATATCTGTCAAAGAATTCTAGTGTTTGAAAATATTCCCTTTCTGTGTTGTAACTTGATCCATTATTTTTCCAAAACCCTAAAGCAAGGAAGGGCCTCAGTTAACATTTTCTTTACTATACCTTTTAAGAAAATTTTTTTAACCCCACTTTTGGGCCTCTCCAGAGCAGAGTGTATTCAATAGTAATATGAAAAATCCAGTTGGTGTGAACTCCAGTAGCAACCTCCCTGCTTTCTACCCTACATCAGATTGTCAAACATTTAGATGGATTCCTTGTGAACAGGGCATATTAATGAAGGTTTTCATTCACATTGACATGAGTTCTCTAAAAGCCAACCATGGCTAAAACATTCAGGAGGTTGAAGACACTCTTCACACTGGTTTTCCTGACTTTTCTCCCCATCTGCGTCTTGCCTTCCAATCCTGAGTGGTTTGCTTGCCTCAGTGTGGACAAAAGCCTACATATGTTGGTGGAAAGAGCACTTTCTTTGAATTTCAATAACTTGCTAGTTATTAGGCAGAGAATTATGAAACACTTTCAGTGTCATTAAAGCTATGACAATATTATCTATTTCAAAGGACTCATGTAGGAAGTAAATAAAATGTTAAAGAGGGTGACCCACAAGTTATGTTATATTCTTTTAGTAATATCCCAGTTCTGGTTTGAACTTTAGCTTCATTCAATTTAAATGTTCTTTATTTGCTGGCCATATACAACTGAAAAGTGTGTGTGTGTGTGTGTGTGTGTGTGTGTGTGTGTGTGTGTCTGTCTGTCTGTCTCGGGGGTGGAGATGCAGGACGCGCAGTCGGCTAATTTTGGGGACCAGCAATAGACATCTTTCAAGGGTCAAACATCTTGTGATTCCTCGAAGTATCCCCAGCCTTGTATCAGAAAATTGGCCTACAGACCAACAATCTGAAGATCCATAGGCCCAGGAGCTCCGCCCCTCCTCGCCTCCTCTGGGGAAAACCACGGACCATAGAGACGTGTCTTCATAGAGAGTCGGCGATTGGGGTGGTGAGCAACCGGAAGTCGGGATGTCCCGGGCTCGGCCATTATTTTGGGACTGGTCCGGTGCCGCGTTGGGTTCTAGTGTCATCTCCTAGCGGCATGCCACCGAGGCGACAGTACCCAGGGCTAGACTGCGAGAGGAACTCTGGTGAGCGGGGTGGGGTCGGGGTGGGGTCGGCGGGTGGGCATGCGCGGAGGGAGGTTCGCGCCCTTGCCGGCCCTCCGGGGTGCTGACCCTCCTCGCAGACGCTCCTCAGCTGGATGCCGGGTCATCGCCGGGGTCAGCGCCGTGGCCTGGCTTGGGCACACGGCCGGCGCGGGAGAGGTGTTGACGACCGGACCTGGGTCTGTACGTGGTGATGGACTGGTGTGGAGTCAAACAGGACAGCTGCCTCAATAGCCAGGTTCCCCAGCTCAGGCCTTTCTGCTCTTGCTCAGTCTTCTCTGAGGCTGATGCTCATTAACAATTTGAAACTTCCCTAGAGCAGTGGCCGGCCACTGCTGGAGATGCTTTTGTTTTGATTTTTAGGCTGGACCAGTTGCCATCTTTTACTTTTGTAATATATCGGTATTGGAAGAGCGGAACTGTGTGTACTGCTGTTCTTTCAGAGAACACATATACTAAGACTGTAAACTCAGAATACATGCTGACCTTTGCAGAGAAAAACAAAAAGTCACTGCCAACCTGTCAGTGACTATGTATGGCCATTGCTTTTCTCCTTTTGCAGCTTGCCAGATTAAAGTTTTATCATGGATTCATATTTGGAAACCATTGTTTTAGAACAGCTGTTGTTTGGGTTTCATAAGTAGATAGACTTATTTTGGACTTTGGAGTTAGGTTCCTGAATTCACAATTTGCTCCCAAAACTTAACTGAGAGGACTTGTGTGAATCCTCTGTATCTTTTATTTGTAATTTCTGCTTCATAAACCTTTTGTGAGAAGCAACGGAAATCTGTGTTTAAAATATGTTATTTTTATTGGTAAAGTACATGTGGATAGAGTACTGATAACTTACTGTAGGAAATTATTTAACATTCTTTTAAAAGACTCCACTCCATCACTCTTAGGTTGATCACCAAACACTGCTAAGTTTTCTCAATTGTTTTATCCCTGCTGCTGCTGCTTTTAGAATTTAATCATTTATTTAGACTGTTGCAAAAACCTAACTAGCCTTCCTGATATATGAACCTCCCTCCCCCATCATTCCTCCCTTATCAATTCCTGACTCCATATAAGACTCCCTTCAGGGCCCAGAGTGGGAAAAGTCTATGTAACCATGACATAAAACCCAGAAGCAATAAAAAGAAAAGATTAGTTGCATGGCAAAAACATGATAAGTAAAGTCACATGATCTGTGACAAAGTTGCAAAGACACAATTTGCATTTCCCATAGTAAGCAAATAAATGATTTTCCTATGATACAAAGAGTACACAAATTAACAAGATCCAGCACTCAATAGAATCATGGGCAAAATATGTGAATAGTTAACAAAATGACTCTTCACCCACAGTGCCAGTTAAAAATTTGGCAGAGATCCCAATCTTTGACAGTCACATTGGTGAGAGAGTGAGGAAGCAGGCATTCCCTCACAGTTCATGCTGTGAATTGTAAATTGTGATTTGGTACAATCCTTATGAGGCCTAATGGTAAGATCAGAATTTAAAATGCACACAATTTTGGACCCAGTAATCCTGCTTTAAGTAATTTTTCTATGTGTGCCTGCACACATGCAAATTGATGTGTGCCCTCACACGTGCAAATTGATGTATGCCCAGGGTTATTAATGATAATATTATTGGTATTAGGAAAAAATTAAAAACTGCCTAAATGTCCCATAAGTGGATAAATAAATTATAGTGCATCTACAAAAACGAGGGGGAGGGGATATGTATGGACAGGAAAATTGAGAAAAGGAAAACAGCACATTATTCATGGTATTCTACCATTGTGAAAACAGGGAAATACAAAACCTTATGTGTATATGTGTATGACACAAATAACTAGAAAAACTACATAAAAAACTAACAGGGAGAGGGAAATAACATAGCATGTGTTTTGTAATTTTAAACCAAGTAAATGTTTAACCAAGTAAATTTGTTATGTTTTTAAGAATAAAAGGGGAAAATGCGGGACAAATTCTAATAGTTGCCCATTGCTCACAGGACATGATCTCTCCTTATTCTGTCTCTCAATACCTGTAATATTTTTTTCCTGCTCTATACCTGTAATCTTTTTTTTTTTTTTAGTTTAGTTTTTAGTTGTAGGACACAATACCTTCAATTTATTTTTTTTTAGGTGGTGCTGAGGATCGAACCCAGGGCCTCGCACATGCTAGGCGAGCGCTCTACAGCTGAGCCACAACCGCAGTCTATATCTATAATCTTGCCTCTGAAGTTTACTTTACTCTTCTGGTTTGCAAAGCTCATTTCTTTCTTTCTTTTTAAAATTTTTTCTCTTTTTTCCTCTTTCTTTTTTTTTTCCCACCTCTCTTTTTTTTGTGTGTTTGTGTGTGATTCTGGGGATCAAATCCAGAGCTTGATCAAATATATGCTAGGTAAGCACTGCAAAGTCCATTTCTTCCTTTTTTTTTTTTTTTTTTTTTTTGCTGGTACTAATGATTGAACCTATGGCCTCACACATGCTAGGCAAGTGCTCTACCACTAAGCTATTCCTAAGCCCTTTTAAAATTTTTATTTTGACACATTTGCCAGGATGGCCTTGAAATAGGCAATCCTCCTGCACCAGCTTCCCCAGTAGGTGGGATTACAAGCATGTGGTACAATGCTCAGCTCTGGAAAACCCATTTTTAATAGAGGGATATGTGCTGTTACTCCTTGTTTTTGAAAATGCAGTATCTTTCTTCCTGGAATGGCTTCCCTGATTTTTTTTTTTCATTAAAGCCCAATCTAAAATTACCTTTCACAAATACTTTCTGTCTTTATTCTATTAGTTGTATTTACATATTTAATTAAAATTGTGTTTATATTTCTGCCTCCCTTGTTTTGTTATTTTTAAATGTCTCTGTTAAATAAAATTGATGAAAATGCTTTCATATGTCACTGGTGGTGATGTAACTGTTATCATCTTAAAAGATTAAAAACATTTGTATCTAGAAATTTTTCCTGAAGAAAAAATCAGCTATGAAACCCCAAATTCATCAGCAGGGATACTCTTTGTATCCTTATTTGTAATAGGGGAGAATTACAAATAATCTCAAATATCTAGTGATCAGGGAACTACTTAAATATGATTGGACTCATACAGCTCTCAAAAGCAACAAGCAATACTTAATGTCTTTTTCACAACATACTGTGCAAGAAAAGCAAGTTATAGAGTAACATAGTCAGATCCAGTCTTGTGATACAAATTGGTGCGTTGAAAAAGGACATACTCCAGAACAATAGCAATTATTATTTTCGGGTTTCTTTTTTTGCATGTTTCCCAGTTTTACAAACTTTCTGTTTTATAATCAGAAAAATAAATAATAGTTTTAAAGATCAGGTGACTTCTAGAGAGCAGTAAGCCTAAGTTCTATATAATGAAACTTTATTCATAGTTATCCAAATATTTTAACAGAATAAATGATTATCAGATAATTAATTAGATAGTATATACAGCAAACTACACAGAAATCAATTCAGCCTTTTTTGTTAATTGAATTTTAGAATTTTTTTCCATTATAAGAGTTAAAATCATGATTACTTGTTGACTGTATAACATAGGAAAGAGTGCTTATTATAGAAAGATAACTAACATTTGAATCTATGTATCAGGTATTGTTCAAAACTTGAAATGAGGGCTGGGTATGTCTCAGTGATAAAGTGTTTCTCTGGCTTCTGTCTCCAGTATCACCAGAGAGAGAGATAGGGAGGGAGGGAGAAAGGGAGGGAAGGAAGGAGAGAGAGAGAGAGAGAGAGAGAGAGAGAGAGAGAGAGCGTGTGAGAAAGAGCGTAAGATTAGGGAATGAAATTGATCAAATTATGTTATCTGCATGTATGAGTATGCCACAGTGAAACCTACTATTCTGTCCAATTATGCACCAATTAAAAAAACAACTTGAAATGTATTTAGACATCATATTCTCACAACAACCCTGCAATGCTGTAAAGTAAGAACGGCCATTATCCCTGTGTTACAAGTCAAGAAACTAAGGCTTGGGCTGGGGGTGTAGCTCAGTGGTAGAGCTCTTGCCTATCACATGTGAGGCACTGGGTTCAATCCCCAGCACTGCATAAAGACAAATAAAGGTATTGTGTTCATCTACTACTAAAAAATATTTTTAAATTTTTTAAAAGAAACTAAGGTTTAGGAGTGAGGTAATGTGTTCAGATTACAGAAATATCTAAAAAGCCCATATCAGATTACAGAAATATCTAAAAAGATACTACAGAAATATCTAAAAATCTAAAATGGTAAATAGTTTATTGTAATTAAATGGAAGAGCTCTTATGAATAAAGACCAAAGGAATTCCATGTGTTTGGTTTCAGGAGTATTGTGTCCTCTGGCCTTAGGCAGAGGGTTTCTATTAGAGGAAGCACTCTCTGGAGCGTAGACACTTGCTTTCAGGATTCTGTTTATTACTGGCAGTTGACGGGTCTGGAAAACTTGGTTGTTTCTGTGGGCTAACTTTAACAATGATTTTTTGAGGTCTTATAGATGAAGTTCTCCAAGTTCTAAGGAAGAAACCAAGCAAGAATTAAGGGGACGTGGAGAGGAACCTTTCTAAAAAGGCAACAATGACGAGAGAAAATTGGGCCCACAATGCTCTGAGACAAGAGGGTCTTGTGAAAGGGAAGGATGATACCTGGAAATGGGGAACCAGCTTCCAAGGGAGCAGCTCCTCTGTTTGGGAGACCTCTCACATGCACTTTAGACAGTTACGTTACCATGAGACATCTGGACCCCAGGAGGCTCTGAGCCGGCTCCGAGAGCTCTGTCGCCGGTGGCTGAGGCCAGAAGCACGCACCAAGGCTCAGATCCTAGAGCTGCTGGTGCTGGAGCAGTTTCTGAGCATCCTGCCTGGGGAGATTCGGACCTGGGTGCAGCTCCATCGTCCTGGCAGTGGCGAGGAGGCTGTGGCCCTGGTAGAGGAGCTGCAGAAAGACCTTGATGGACCAGCACTAAAAGTGAGAAAGGCTGGGAGTAGGGAGTGAATGGAGGGAAGAAAATAATTGAGGTGGGGCTGGTGGGTGACCCTGTAATTTTCATTAATAATTAGCAACTTAATGCAAATTAAAGCAGGTTCATATGCTATTCAGATTACAGAACATATTTGCAGAGAAGTGGATTTATGATTGAGGTTTTTGGGCCCAATTCAATCAAAACAATAGCATTGTTTCCACTTTGCCACCCTAGATGAAACCTGCTCATGCTGAGTCTAGTTGAACACCTTGAAGAAGATGATAGTATTCCCCTAAACAGAAGCATATGAGCATATGTGCTATTTCTATAATTCCGATTGAAATGGTGGTAAAAGCTTGGAGCATAAAAGGCATAGGCAGAACGAAGCTTTCCAGATCTAACCAAACCTCCCTTTGTGTCCCCCTTACTGAGAATTCTGCAAGACAAGGGGTTAGGTTGAGATATTTGTTTCTGATAAGATTTCACATTCTTGACCTTTAGATTGGGACTTTTAAGATAGCCTCTCATGTGTATAATTTTTTTTCTATAAATCTGTAGCCCACTAAAAATATTTCTGTGAAGAAGTCTGAACCATAACTCAAACTTGGTATTGGCCACAAGGATAGGCTTATTTGTTTTAATCATAAAATGAAGAAGTTTAGAGCTTATATCTTTACAAATTATTAACCCATCCTTTTTCATTTGAGAGACAAGAAAACTGAAACAGAAAAAGATTCTGTGGATTGCCTTAGGTCAGACATTGAGCTAGCAGCAAAGCTAAGTATCTAGCTGCCTACTCCAATGTTACTTGTGTTGGAGCAGGAAGGAATAAGTAAAGGGGTAAATAAATAGAAGAGATGTGATTGAATCCAATTCTGATAAAAAATTAGGTCTGAAGCTAAATCCATGCTCTTAATTACTGCTTGTTACTTCCATTCCCTCCTTAACCCACACCCAGGTCTGGCTTCTGTTGCCACCGTTCTGTACAGTCTCCTGTGGGAGAGGTCACCAGTGCCGTGAGGGGGCTAGAGGGCAGCTCCATTGTTCTCAATGCAAAGCTTTACTGCTGGTTTGATGCTCCATATTTGAGGTGGGTCTTTGTGATCTCACAGTTCTAGATTGAGGGCAGAAAGAGGTCCATAATGGTTAGGTGAGTCCCTTTTCTAGAGATACAAGAAGAGCCGGCTTATTTTATTTTGCTTTTTTCAGGGTCCATTCCTTGTCCAGGACCAGGACATTCTCCAGGAGGGGTTGAGTGCTCCTGGAACAGCATTTGTTCCTGCATCTCCCAGCAGCCATTTATCAGCTGAAATTCATCTGAATCCTCTTTCTGACACAGTGGTGTTCAACCTCCAGGATCCTCCACATGGTACTCATTTTTCTAGAACCCTTTGTGTGGCTCATCTTCCTGCTTCCAGAATATCTCTCTGGATGAAGCTAATGCTGAGTTTGGTTGAACACTGTAAAGAGGAGAGTATTTTTAAGTGTTTCCTAAACAGAATTCCTACCCTATAAGGGAATCCCTTATAGTGACAGTCTCTTTCTGCTGTTCGGATGGTTCTCTCTCTTGTCCCTTCCTAGGTTCTTCTGACTTGTATCCATTCTTATTGCTATAATTCTGTTTTTCCAGTCCTGGACATGAGAGTCACTCAGAAAAGGGTTGTAGGTCATTTTGTAGACATCATTGCTTAGACTTGGAGTTCTAGATCATTCTGGTTTTTATTGTTTTTTTGTTTGTTTGTTTCTGTTTGTTTGTTTCTTTTGTGGTGCTGGGGATTGAACCAAGGGCCTCATGCATGCCAGGCAAGCACTTTACCACTGAGCTGTATCCCCACCCCTCTGGATCATTCTGAATTCCTAATTTGTAGAAGATATTAGACTGGGGTGGTAAGCCACAACAGCAATATTCTCACATGCAGTTTGTTCTTTCTCAGATTCTCCTGCCCCTGAGGCTTCTGCCCTATCCCAGGAAGAGAACCCAAGAAATCAGTTAATGGCACTTATGCTCCTAACTGCCCAGCCCCAGGTAAGGTTTGCATCCTCTTTCCTTCTTGTCTGAACTGCGTTAATTGTTGCTGAAGGGTCCTCTCTCATCCTGGTGCTGGAGTGTCCCATCATTTCCCATATCCAAATCAAGGTCCATGCTTTTGGAAAACCGACCTTGTGGGGTCGCTTTATGTCTCCCTGATATCCACAGCTCTCATCGTGACCTGACAATGTATTTCTTCCCCAGAAGTGAAAGGAACCTTTTGGTAGGGGAGCTCCTAAACATTGGAATCTACTCATACCCATAACACAAACCTGTTATTTCAGGAGTTGGTAATGTTTGAGGAGGTGTCTGTATGCTTCACTTCAGAGGAATGGGCATGTCTGGGCCCAATTCAGAGAGCCTTGTACTGGGATGTTATGCTGGAGAATTATGGAAATGTGACCTCTCTAGGTAAGGACGTCTTCCCATAATTCTTACCTTTATCTTATCTGTTTTGATTATAAAAGTAGTTTATGCTTATTTAAGAAAACAAACTATTAGTCCAGCAGCTGGGGAAGCTGAGTCAGCAGGATCGAAAGTTCAAAGCCAACCTCAGCAAAAGTGAGACACTAAGCAACTCAGTGAGACCTTGTTTCTCAATAAAATATAAAATAGGGCTGGGGATGTGACTCAGTGGCCAAGTGCCCTAAATTCAATCTCTAGTACCCCTGCAAAAAAAACCAAAAAGAAAACAGACTATTAGAAAGAATATTCACTTCAACCTCATTATTTGCAGACAACTGCTGTCAACATTTTGATATATCCCAGGTGTTTTTTCCTATGTGTTTAGAGGGTTTTTAAATATGTTGTTTAGTGTATATTGAAAAAAAAAATACACACACACACACACACACACACACACACATACATGTATATATATTTATAGCTTTCTTTCTTTGCAGTCACTATATTGGCTACATAATTTGTACCATAATTTAAATTTAGTTAGCCATTTTCTTATTTTTTTTCATATTTTTTTGGATAATTGCTGTCATAATCCTCATCTCTGTGGCTAAAACCTTTCTTTATTCCTCCTTATTTTTTAGAAGTACAACTGGGCCTATGTGATTGATTTGCTTTAAGGCTTTTGCTTCATACTACCAAATTGCTTTCCATAGTGACCCATACCCTCTCTACTCTTCTCAGCAGTTCTTACAAATACTCCTTTTATTCTGCTCTCGTTTGTAGTTAGTAATCCCATTGTTTTAAACTATTGCTAATTTTTTAAGGTTAAAAAATATAAAGTAGATTTCTTTAATTAGTAATAAAATAAAAATATTTAAAAACTTTTTCACTGGGTGCAGTGATATATATCTATAGTGCTAACTACTTGGGAGACAGAGCCAAGAGGATCGTTTGAGATCAGCCTAGGTAACAAAGAAATCCTGACTTGAAAGAAAAAAAATTCAGCCATTTGTGCTTCCAACAAACTTTAAAAACATGTATCTTGTGGTGTTCCTGTGAAAATGATATGATTCTGCCCACAAATAATTTATCATGGTTTGGGAGATGATTATAGAAAGAATAAACAAATACAAGGCAGAATAAAATAATTGATGCAATAGTGACATAAATCTGATATGTGGAAATACAGAAGATAGAGCAACCAAACTCATTCCTGGAGATCAGGAAAGCCCATAAAGGAGGTAGCATGTGAGGTGTTACTGGAAAAATAGGATTGTACAGAGAAGTAGACATTGAGAACTGAGAATCAGCCACACAATTGAATTTTGACTGGAATATACATTATTTGTAGTACTAGTTTAAATGGCTGCATAATATTTCATTATGTGTGATCATGTTTTACATTGACAGTTTTATTCTGAGTGTTTCCATTCAGGAACCTTACATACCCTTTCATTTTTTCTGTACTGCATTTTTCTCTGTTTCAGGCGTATTTTAAAATCACATTTGTCTAGATCTTATATACTTCTAGTGATATTTATTCTTTAGAATTAGTCTTTAATATTTTATAATTGACTTCATTTGCATATAGAAAGTGCTGATGTTTTTGTATATTAATTTTGTATCTAGCAGCCTTATTATTTTATTGTCCATAGTAACTTATACTGTGTACTTTTACACTTATGAAAACATATTCTTTTTTATTTTTATTTATTTTTTATTTTTATTTATTTATTTATTTTTTTAGTCATACATGACAATAGAATACATTTTGATATATAATACATACATGGAATGTACATACATCAATCATATTGTCTATTCTATTCTGCTGCCCTTCCTATCCTCCCTACTCCTCCCCTCCTCTCCCATCCTTTCTCTCTATCCAATCTAATGTGACACACTTTTTTTTTCCCATTACAACATCATATATGTATTCTGTATAACAATGAGGTTCTCCTTCCATCTTCTGTGTAACTCCCTTTCTCCCTCTTTTCCCCTCCTACCTCTCTTCCCTATTTAGTGGTAGTCTTCTTCTCATGCTCTTCCTCCCTATCCCATTTTGAGTCACCCCCTTTATATCAGAGAAGACATTCGGCATTTGTTTTTTAGGGACTGGCTAACTTCACTTAGCATAATCTGCTCTAATGCCATCCATTTGCCTGCAAATGCCATGATTTTATTATTTTTTAGTGCTGAGTAATATTCCATTGTGTATAAATGCCACATTTTTAAAATTCATTCATCTATTGAAGGGCATCTAGGTTGGTTCCACATTCTAGCTATTGTGAATTGTGCTGCTATAAACATTGATGTGGCTGTGTCCCTGTAGTATGCTCTTCTTAGGTCTTTTGGGTATAGTCCGAGAAGGGGAATAGCTGGGTCAAATGGTGGTTCCATTCCCAGCTTTCCAAGGAATCTCCATATTACTCTCCAAATTGGCTGCACCAATTTGCAGTCCTACCAGCAATGTATGAGTGTACCCCCCGCCCCACCTCGCATCCTTGCCAGCACTTATTGTTGTTTGACTTCATAATGGCTGCCATTCTTATTGGAGTGAGATGGTATCTTAGAGTAGTTTTAATTTGCATTTCTCTGATTGCTAGAGATGGTGAGCATTTTTTTCGTGTATTTGTTAATTGACTGTATATCCTCTTCAAAGAAGTTTCTGTTCAAGTCCTTGGCCTATTTGTTGATTGGGTTATTTGCTTTTTTGTTGTTTAACTTTTTGAGTTCTTTGTATATTCTAGAGATTAGAGCTCTATCTGATGTTTGAGGGGTAAAAATTTGTTCCCAGGATGTAGACTCCCTATTCACCTCACATATTATTTCTCTTGCTGAGAAAAACATTTGTTGATTCTTGGTTTTAACTCTTGTGCTATAGGTGTCTTATTGAGAAATTTGGGGCCTGCCCCACGTGATGAAGATTAGGACCAACTTTATATTCTATTAGACGCAGAGTCTCTGGTCTGATTCCTAGCTCCTTGATCCATTTTGAGTTGACTTTTGTGCATGGTGAGAGAAAGGGATTCAATTTCATTTTGTTGCATATGGATTTCCAGTTCTCCCAGCACCATTTGTTGAAGATGTTATCCTTTCTCCCATATTCTTTTTTAAAAAAATATTTTTGAGTTTTAGATGGGCACAATATCTTTATTTATTTATCTTTATGTGGTGCTGAGGATCAAACCCAGTACCTCACATATGCTAGGCAAGTGCGCTACCGCTGAGCTACAACTCCAGCCCTGAAAACATTCTTTTTTGGGTGGTGGTACTAGAGATTGAACTCAGGGGTGTTGCATTTCTAACAACTAAAACACTCAAGGTCACTCCAAGTGAACTATGATACATAAAATAATCATGCAAGAGACAGAGATACCTTTTTCTTTGGGTTCTAATGGCTCCAAGGGGAGAAGCCATTCAAATGAGGCAATGGGTCAGGTTTCAGGGGTTGAGTCTAGCTTCTTGATATCTGCTGTCAGCAGGCTGACTGAACATCTAGAAAGGCCACACCCAAAGGCAGAGCAAGAGAAGGGGACACACAAAGGGAGCTTCCATGGAACATTCTATCCTAAACAGGGCAAAGGGGTAGTATTACAAAAGAATAGGTGAGTGTAGCTCAACCCCATGGGTAACATGCCTACCACAGAGCTACACCCCTAACCCCTAGATGGATACTTTCTTTGCCCCAGTATTGGGAATCAAGGCCAGGGTCTCACACTTTCTAGACACTCACTCTATCACTAGAAACATGGTTTTAAGAAACTTGAAGATCCTATTCTCACAAATTTAGGAACCTGATAACATTTGTGTTTTAATTTCTTTTACCAGAATGGGAGACCATGACTGACAATGAGGAGGTGACATCAAAGCCAAGTATTTCTCAAAGAGCAGATGCTCAGAAAGGAATATCAAAAAGACTTCAAGGCAGTGTTTCCCAGGTCCCTGGTTTTGAGGAAGAATGTGAATGGCAAGTTTTGGAAAATCAGTGGGGAAATGAAACAGGAGAAAGGGTAGATGCAATGAAAAAAGGTTCCCTGTGTGAACAAGACAAGAAGAAAAGGACTTTACCAGAAAAACGGGGCCAGAAGTGGAAGGAATTTGGAGAAAGCTTGACTTTAGGTTCAGCTGTTTCTGAAAGTTTAATAGGTACTGAGGGAAAGAAATACTATAAGTGTGACATATGTTGTAAACATTTAAATAAAATTTCACATCTCATAAACCATCGGAGAATCCATACTGGTGAGAAACCTCATAAATGTAAGGAGTGTGGAAAGGGCTTTATTCAGCGCTCAAGCCTTCTAATGCACCTTCGAAACCATTCTGGGGAGAAACCATATAAATGTAATGAATGTGGGAAAGCATTCTCTCAAAGTGCTTACCTTTTAAACCATCAGAGGATCCACACTGGGGAGAAACCTTATAAATGTAAGGAATGTGGAAAGGGCTTCTATAGGCATTCAGGCCTCATTATACATCTAAGACGCCATTCAGGGGAGAGACCTTACAAATGTAATGAGTGTGGGAAAGTTTTCTCTCAAAACGCTTACCTCATTGACCACCAGAGGCTCCATAAAGGAGAAGAACCTTATAAATGTAATAAATGCCAGAAAGCTTTCATTCTGAAGAAGAGCCTCATTCTGCACCAGAGAATTCACTCTGGGGAAAAACCCTATAAATGTGATGAATGTGGAAAAACCTTTGCTCAGACCACCTACCTTGTCGACCATCAGCGACTCCACAGTGCAGAGAACCCTTACAAGTGTAAAGAATGTGGGAAAGTTTTCATTCGAAGTAAAAGCCTCCTTTTACATCAGCGAGTCCACACAGAAAAGAAAACCTTTGGTTGTAAAAAATGTGGGAAAATTTTTAGTTCTAAGTCAAACCTCATTGACCACAAGCGGATGCATAGCAGAGAGAAACCTTACAAATGCACTGAATGTGGGAAAGCCTTCACTCAGAGTGCTTACCTTTTTGATCATCAGAGACTCCACAACGGAGAGAAGCCCTATGAATGTAATGAATGTGGAAAAGTTTTTATTCTGAAGAAGAGCCTCATATTACATCAAAGGTTCCACACTGGAGAGAATCTCTATGAATGTAAAGACTGTGGTAAGGTCTTTGGTTCTAACAGGAATCTCATTGACCATGAGAGACTCCATAATGGGGAGAAGCCATATGAATGTCGAGAATGTGGGAAAACCTTTATTATGAGCAAGAGTTTCATGGTCCACCAGAAACTTCATACTCAGGAGAAAGCCTACAAATGTGAGGATTGTGGGAAGGCTTTCAGTTACAATTCAAGCCTGCTCGTACATCGAAGAATCCACACTGGAGAAAAGCCTTTTGAATGTAGTGAGTGTGGAAGAGCTTTCAGTTCCAACAGAAACCTCATTGAACATAAGAGAATCCACAGTGGTGAAAAACCCTATGAGTGTAATGAGTGTGGCAAGTGCTTCATCTTGAAAAAAAGCCTCATTGGACATCAGAGGATTCACACAAGGGAAAAGTCTTATAAATGCAATGACTGTGGGAAAGTCTTTAGTTACCGCTCAAACCTGATAGCCCATCAGAGAATCCACACTGGTGAGAAGCCCTATGCATGTAATGAGTGTGGGAAAGGCTTCACCTACAACAGAAATCTTATTGAACATCAAAGAATTCACAGTGGGGAAAAAACATATGAATGTCATATCTGTAGAAAAGTTCTTACCTCTAGTAGAAATCTTATGGTACATCAAAGAATACACACTGGAGAGAAACCTTATAAATGTAATGAGTGTGGAAAAGACTTTAGTCAGAATAAAAACCTTGTTGTACATCAGAGAATGCATACTGGAGAGAAGCCTTATGAGTGTGAGAAATGTAGGAAATCTTTTACCTCCAAGAGGAATTTAGTTGGTCACCAGAGAATCCACACAGGGGAGAAACCCTATGGGTGTAATGATTGTAGCAAAGTTTTTAGACAAAGAAAAAACCTCACTGTACATCAGAAAGTTCATACAGAGGAAAAACCCTGTGAATGTGGTGAGGCTGAAAAGGAATTTTCTCAGACTTCAAAACTTCATTTTCAACAAAAAGTCCATACTGTGGAGGAATTTTCTTGGCTAAAAAATGCCAGTGAGGCTAAGATAGAGATTCAAAAAATCTAGTGGAGATCTGGCATTGTGGCTAAGTGGTAGAGTACTGCCTTGCATGTACAACCCCCAGCACTGCAAAAAAAGAAAAAAAAATAGTGTCATTTGTAAAATGGAATAGAATCCTATTTAACCATTAGATGAATGACATATAGTTTCTATAAGAAAAAAATCATGACCATTTCTTATGGACAAGTGAAAGAAAGTTAATCTAGACCTTCAAGTGTAGAAAAACATAATCCAAATTCTAGTTCAAGGATACTGTATTCCAGACATTTATTATGACCTTGGAAATAGACCTTGGAGCAATTGAAGACAGAAGAAACTGGATTTGGGTCTTATAAGCGATAATGGTGCAGTTGTAAGTGATAGCAAAAATGTCTTTATTAAAGTGGACATTGTTTCTGAAAATATGTATATTATACAGTTTAAAGATAGCATCTCTGCTGCAGAATGTCTGTATAGACAGTAAAATCCAGACACTGAGATGTGGAATTCAGTGGGCAAGAGATTACCTGGCTCATCCTTAAGACTAGATGTAAAATTAGAAGAGCTAGGTTTGGATTCTCTTTCCCTTACTATGTTAATGTTAAGCCCACCTCTAAGCCTCAGAATGCCTACCTCACAGGGTTGTTGTGAGGAGTAAGTGAAAGGATGTTTGTGAAACCATTTTACAATAAAGTTAGATGAGAGAAAGAGGTATGGCCAGAGTCTACGCCATGGCATAATCTAAGTTTGTTCATTAAGTCAATATTAGAATGAAGAGGATTCCATGAACCTCAAAGATAGTCATTTTTATGAGTGGAAGTATGACGGATAGCTAACTTTGGGATTTAGTACTCTAAAGACTTTTGAAAAATATAATTTTAAAATGTCTAAGGGAGTTAATGTATAAAATGTCTACTTTGTTTTTATGGAAAATATATTATGGCCAGCCATTAACAGTGATGCCAAGGAAAGCTATTTGTTTTTTTGTTCTTTGAATATGGAACTTAATAGAACATCAAAATTGAAGGACAGTCCTATGTTGCTTTTTCTTTTTATTGGGAGAAATACATAACCCCATTAGCTGAGCTGATGATCCTTGCCACAGCCATTTTCCATTGTCAACATTTAATTGTTGCTGTCATGTGATAGATTGTCACTTACAAAAAGACTTTCTGTCCCAGCACTTAATTTACTACCTAAATTTTTACACAGCCAAGCCTTCAATTTCTGATTAAGCCAATGCAGAATCCACTTCTAGGCAGCCACTGCGCTTTACTCCCTGTGAACCAGTTGTTCATTCAGCTCGTGCACTATTGTACATTTATTTGGGTTAATTAGAAGATAAAATATAATTCTGTATTCTTATATTTTATCTTCTAATTCTCCAAATTCCAGTTTTGCAGGTAGAATGTAAATGTATATCAGGATGGTGTTTTCTAATACAAGCAATATCAAAGTGGTATGTTGATTATGACATGTTATTAATTCAACCCCAAAGCTCCTTTGAGGGCTGGTTCCTCATTATACTGAAATGTATACTGAGAACTGGAAGGGACCCATAGTTTGAACTCTTTAAGATCTGGATGAGTCAGGTTCTGCCACTTGCCTTGGACAAATCTCTTCACTTCTTGGAGACATGATTTCCACATCTATCAAACAGGAGGAAAAATATCTACCTCACAAAGTTGTTATGAGGTAATGAGTATGAAAATTCTTCCTATTAATGCTATACAAGAATCACCATAGCTTATATAATAATTGCAAAAGGACATATTTTAACAAAGGAGAGAGCTAGCATTTACCTTGTAACCAAGTGAAAATACAATATAGCTAACTGAGCCCATATAATGTGCCTCCTCTTGTAGTGTAATAAGCCAAAAGATCTTTAGCCTGATTTTAATCAATTTTCTTAAACCTAATTGGCAGTTTGTAGGAAATACAGAAAGCATAGGGATAATATAAAAGATGCCATAAGAAACAGAAAATTTCAGAACATGGGATATTAGAAAATTGCCCTGGATTCTTCAAAAAGTCATGATATAAAGGAAAGAAGAGTGATCATTAATGAAGCTATCCATAAGGGGAAAACCCCTCACAACATTGAGAACTAGGATTAAGGAAAGAACTTGCAGATGTCATCAAAAGCATGTTTTGTAAAAGGGGAAAATGATCAATCGGACCTCCTCAAAATTAAGATAACTTTTCTCTACAAAGATACTTTTAAGGGGATGAAAAGACACTACAGACTGGGAGAGAACCATTTGCAAATCACATATCCATCAAAGGATTTGTATCTAGACTACATAAAGAACTCTGAAAACTTATTGATAAAAAAAATTAGAAATGCACAAGATACCAACAGACATTTCACTGTAGTTGACAGATAAGCAAATGAAAAGATATTCGACATTATCCATTAGGGAAATGTAAATTAAAATCTTGAGATACTTCTATGCACCTATCAGAATTAGCTAACTTTTAAAAATAAAGTGATTACACCAGTTCTGACAAGGATGCCGAGAAACTGGATTTCATACATTTTTGGAAATGCAAAATGGCACAATCACTTTGGAAAACAGTTTGGCAGTTTCTTATAAAACCAAACATGCACTTAACTATATGCCTCAGTAATTCCATTCCCTAGCATTTGTCCCAGGAAATGAAAGCTTATGTTCACAAAGACTTGTACATAATGTTCATACAATCTATATTAATATTCAAAACCTTTAGGTATCAGGTGGTTAAAATAAACTATGGTATGTCTATACCATGGAGTACTTAGTACTTGGCAGTAAGATGACCTACAGCTTGTCACAACTAGAATGGATTCCTAGGGAATCCCATATATTAGGGATGGTGTGAGGGAGAGGATTGGAATGTAACTATAAAAAGGGTAGCACCAGGGAGGTTGGTGATGGAATAGTTGTATAATAGTGGCAGTTTCACAAATCTCATGCAATACAATGACAAACGCATAGGCACGCACTGTACCAATATATGCTTGCTAATTTTGTCATTCTAATTACATAAGATGTCACCATTGGGGGGGAAATCTTTGCAACTTCCTGTGGAATTGTCATTTTAACATAAAATATGAATACACAAAAGAGCCATAACTAAAATACAGTGTTGTGAAACTGAATTGGGGGAAAAAAAAACCTTTGAAATGTACCTTAGGAGAAATGTACCTTAGGAGAAATTTGAATACTGACTGTATATTAAGTGGTTTTAGAATATTACTGTTTTCTTACGTGTGATGATGGTGGTGTTAGTTTGGAGAATATTCTTAAGGGTTGCATGCTATTTGGAATGAAGCGCTTTGATGTTTACAGCTTTCTGAAAAGATAACCTTAAATAGAGATAAGGCAAACATAGCATAATGTTAATTGTTGAGCCCAGATGGAGGATACGGGTATTCTTTATATCATTCTCAACTTTTCTGTACCGTTTGATATTTTCAAAATAAAATGTTTTGGGGAAAATTATCCGGTATTTCTAGATTAATCTTTAAGCATCAGACTCCCGGGTGCCATCCTTGCACGAGCCACTTGCCCATCCTGGGAAGGTCCCATCGTTTCGTCCCAAAACAAAGGGCTTTAGAGCGCCCTTTCCCTGGTCCAGGACTGAGTTGGACGCCCATCGAGAAGAAGGCTCCTCCGAGATTCCTAGAGAGGCCGGCCTGGCGATCTGGGAGCCGGAAGCCCATCCCGAGGCACTTCCTGTCCGGTCATTGTTCTAGCGCCTGGAAGGGCAGGGGTCCTGCAGCGCCAGCTTCTGACTCTGAGTCGGTGCGCCGGGCCAGGCCTCTTCACTGCGTACGGTGAGCGGATTTACGGGGTGGCCAGGGACCACGGGGAGCAGGGCTGTGCCCGGAACGGCGGTCCCGAAGCGGCCCAGGAGTCTTTGCCTCGGGACTTAGCCCCGGCAGTCCCAGAGCGGCTCCGCGCCCCTTCGCTTCGCCGTCCGTGTGGCCATCTGACGGGCGCCTGGGCAGGCAGAGGACCGAGGCGCACTGCCCAGGGGCCAGGAGGATCCTGGAGACCCGGAGCCAGGGCATACAGGTGGAGGGAACGGATTGCCACGTTCGGAATTGGAAAAAGGACATTAAAAAGGAAGCCTTTGATAGAGGGCTCTCTGTCGCCTGGGGTTGGGGGATCCATTTGAATCTTACCAGAAGTCTGATGACATTAAGCGAAGTAGACAATTCTGTCTACAAAAGATGGAACGGTCTTCAAAGCCGTCCTTGAATGTTTTGGGGAAAATTATGAGGTAGAATTAAGCTAGTCATGAAAACCTCTAAATCTACTAGTATGGATACCTTAAGCTTCACAATTAAGAATTGTCGTAGGAATGTAAGTATATTTCATTACTCTAGGAATTCACTTGTGCAAAAAATTGCCAGTAATTAACAGAAAAACGAATGTGATCATTTCAGCTGCAAAAGAAAATTCAGCAAATCTTTTTTTTTTTAGTAAAATTTCCAAAGAGAAATAGAAAAATATCATTCTCATATTTATCTAAAATAGTTCGTTATTTGACTCGCAGAAACAAAAACCCTGCTGGCTCATCTGTGGTCATGGGGTCCTGTTAATTAGTCTCGGTGTGACTTGAGTTGATGTGGTGCTTCTGGAAAGCATTGAAAAAATGTTCCAACTACACAGTCCTCAAGATAGTGATCCCTGTCTTTATTCTAAAGGAATAATGGAGCAGAAGAAAAAACTTTGCCGTAAACATTTCAAACGTTTTTGTAAGAGAATACACTGAAAACAGTTAAGACTCTTTTTACTAAAGGAATGGTTCATTAATGGGGTAAATTATAGTATAGCACCGATTCAGAATATTCTGCCAGAATGAGGCATGTGTGTACTGTGTATTGAAGGATCACCAATACTTATGAAATAAGGAGATTAGTTCAAAAGACAAATAGGGCAACTTGCTGAACAGTGTACAGTGAGTTTTAAAGTATGATTTAGAAAAATAAGCAGTGAATGCACATGTGAATGTAAATAACAGAAAAAGGACTAGGATGTCCATTCAACTAATGACTAATTTCTGTGTGTACGTATGTATAAGGAATATATTTAGGGCTGGGGTTGTGGCTCAGTGGTGGAGCACTTGCGTCATATGGGTGAGGTACTGGATTTGATCCTTAGCACCACAGAAAAATAAATAAATAAAGATATTGTGTCTATCTACAACTAAAAGAATTTTAAAAAGATGGGGACCCTGAGAACTCAGGGAGAACCTGTCTCTAAATAAAATATAAAAAAGGGCTGGAGGATAGGGAGTTCAGTGATTAAGCCCCTGTGGGTTTAATCCCCAGTATTAAAAAAAAAGAAATACATTTAATGTTTTATGTTTGTGAATAGGTCCTTTTCAATGAGAGTGAAAATTTGTCAATATATAGATTATTTTTGCTTTGTCTTGTTTTTTTTTGGGCGGGGAGGCAGTTGTTGCTCACATTTTGTCCCGCAGTGCAGGGGATTCAACCCCACCGCTGTGTGTGTTAGGCAAGTGCTCTGGCCACTGAACTAAGTCCCCAATATCAATACTATAGGATATTGTGTAGCAAATCAAAATAAGCATGAACAGTGACAATGGAAAATGATTTCTTTTTTTAAATCTTAAGACTAATACTTGTTCTTACTGACATTTGGAAAATGTAAAAAAACAAAAAGAACCTTGAAACAATTTGTAATTCCACCACCTGGAGCTATCCACCCACTTATTCCTAATATGATGTCTATATACTTTCAGTCTTTTGCTTGGCACTTCTTTCTCATGCTAATTTTTCATCCTTGACAATATAGAAACATTTGTGTTGTAATATTCCTATTTTTAAGACCACTGATAATAATTGTGAACATACCTGTCAAAAACAAAATGTTTATAAAGTCATAATTATTGTTAGTATGTTTGAAGATTTTCCCTTAAAAAAATTTTCAGTTTACAACACATGGTGATTATTCCTTTGGAGGTAGTCGAGTGAGTTTTCCTAATCATTCTATAGTTTAAAAGTTTTTATAATTAAAAAGTTAACCTTTAGGGCTGGGGATGTGGCTCAAGTGGTAGCGGGCTCGCCTGGCTTGCGTGCGGCCCGGGTTCGATCCTCAGCACCACATACCAACAAAGATGTTGTGTCCGCCGAGAAATAAAACATAAATATTAAAAATTCTCTCTCTCTCTCTCTCTCTCTCTCTCTCTCACTCTCACTCTCTCTTTAAAAAAAAAAGTTAACCTTTAGTTAAAAAAAATCAATGATATATTCAGCAATTTGCATTTACATATATATTTTTTTTAAAAAAATGTTTATTATTTAGTTTTAAGTGGACACAATATCTTTATTTTATTTTTATGTGGTGCTGAGGATCGAACCCAATGCCTCATGCATGCCAGGCCAATGCGCCACCACTTGAGCCACATCCCGAGCCCCAACATATTTATATTTTAACTCTTTCCAGCTATAGAAGTAGAATATTCTTTGCACTATAGTGATCACTGGCCAGTCATTGGTGAAATTGGCTTGGAGACTGAGTGGCATCCTGACAAATCTGTGCTCATTGCTAACAATGTTTTTCATTTCTCAGTTGACAGTACTCATCTTGGCCCTGAGATTAAAATCAAGAAGAAGCTTTTGAAACTTAAGAGATTAGATGGGGCTTGACCTCTGCTGGGCAACCCTAGTTATAGGAGTTGTTCTGCTGTGCAGAGAAGATGACTACGGAACTGAGAGAGGCCATGATTCCAGACCCTTGGGGCCCAGTGAAGGTGAAAAAGGAGGAGGAAGAGGAGGACAATTTCCTAAATCAGGAATCCAGCCAACAAGCACATTCTGAGAACTTCAAAGTCTGGGCCCCACGTGAGGGGCCTCAGACAGGCCTTGATATATCCGAAGAGGAGGAAAAGGTAAATGATGACTTGGGAGGAAAGAAGGAGAGACCTGAAAACCTCAAGTAGTTTCAGGAAAACTGCTTCTCTGCTTCTTATTTCCTAGCATCTTATTTCCTAGCTAGGTCTCTGACCATAAGTCCTTTGGAACATAATTGAGATGTTCCCTTCTGATTGATGCATTATTCAGTATTTTTTTATAACCATGTAGTTCTCAAACTTTCCTATAAAGAACATGGGGAATTTTTATAAAATCTTTCTGGCCATGTTGTAGACTATTCTAAGGAAATCAGAATCTGGGATAAGTTCTGGGTTTCTGTGTATTTAAGAACACTCCTCAGGTAATTCCAGTTGTATTTTGAAAGCTCTCAGTGCTTCTCAAACTTTAGTATGCATAGGAATCACTTGGGGTCTTACTAAAATGCTAATCCTGATTCAGGAGGCCTGGGGTATGATCTGAGATTCTGTATTTCTCACAAGCTCCCATAGACCACGTTTTCAGTAATGAGGCTATAAAGGACACTGGGTTCTTAATGTTTTTAAATACACCTGTTACCAGCACTAGGCAAAACAGGGTAGGGCTGGTCCCAGAAAAGCTATATGAGAACACAATCAGGCTGGACACAGTGGCGTACACCTGTAATTCTGGTTTCTCAGGAGGTTGATGCAGTAGGATTGCAAGTTTGAGGCCAGCTAGAGTAAGTCAGTGAGACCTTGTTTCAAAAAAAAAAGGGGGCCGGCTGAGGAAATAGCTCAGTGATGGAGCACTTTCCTAGCTTGTATGAGGCCCTGGATTCCATCCCCAGTACTGCAAAAAAAAAAAGAAAAGAAAAGAAAAAAAAAATTATGATTAGAACCTTGCTTCTTTGATCTTTAGGACCCAGAAAAGTCTCCTTTGAAAAACACCCTCATGTGCTCTCTTGTCACATACTCATTGGTAAGTTAGGTTTGGCTGCTGGAGTGAGTGATGGGATGAAATCAAAGTAGCAGATTTGTTTCTTTGTCTCTCACCTTGGGGAAGAGGAAGATTCTGGCTTCCTTTTCCGTTTTTTTTTTTTTTTTTTAAGTGTTTTTTGACCTCCAGAAATAGATGATTGTGTATGCATCCTCAAAGCTACAATCACAGTATTCCTACCATCAATCCCTTCATAAATGCCTGCTTGTCTATAGGATCCGAATATGTTCTGGGACATGGCAGTAGTCCTAAAAGCAACACAAGAGGCCCCTGCTGCTGCACCACTTGGCAGTTACTCATTACCAAGGACTCTGGCCAAGAGGGAGATACTGGAGACTCATGAGAACCTGAACTCTCTGGGTAAGGTTTAAACTCCCTTATTCAGATTCTGACCCTTGGGGTTTAGAATCTTTTCAAGAGTGTGGGTGGGTATCTGGTTTCTCCGTGTGAGCAACAAGAGTATTGAGGTGTTGAAAGTGCTAAGGAGAGCTGGAGAGGATAGCTGAGAGATGCCTGTGCAGTTATCTTAGGAAATGTCTTATTTGCACACAATCTGAAGATACCAGACAGACATAAATTCTGAATTCTCCTTTTAATTATATTTATTGCTCAGTGAGTTTCATATCTATGCATATGCATAGA